GAGAGAGAGAGAGAGAGAGAGAGTTCTTCTTCTTCCTCTTCTAAGTCCACCATCTCCTCCTCACCCTCTCGCTACCTGATTTCTCAGTATCTGCAGACTACGAGAGAGAGAGAGAGAGATTGGTGACTTCGGGACTTGACAACATTTGGATCCAGACTCGAAATTGGGATTCAGACATTTGACGAGGGATTATTTGGGACCTGTACCGAAGACTTGGTGTTGACGACATTCCCATCTTCCCCTCTTCTTGATCTAACCCCCCCTCTTCTTCGTCTGTGTATGGTTGGGGACTGGCGCATTCTTCCTGTGTGAGTGCCAGGCCTCTTCACACCATGGAATGATGATGATGTATGACTGGTCTGCATTGCAACATTGATTGTTCGGATCATTGGTATTTAAGCCTTCCGCTGTGCTATCCTTGACTATGTGAGAGAGGTCGGTTCTTGTTCTGGTCTGCACCTTTACGGTATGCGACAATACAGCTCTTCTCACTTGGCACTCGGTGCCCAGACTACGACAGCGGCGACAGTCTACTCCTACGACCTAGACATCTATCTACAACAGGTCAGCATTGAAGACCATCAGTCCATTCACCGCATGAAGACTCCGAGTGAACGGCCCACTTCAGCTTCGGCAGGTGAGTGTGTCACTTCAAGCGCTCTTCCCCAGTCTTCCCCACACAGGTCTCTCTACCTAAGAGACCATCCCGCTCCTCCTTTGGCCTGTCTTCAGTGCAGTGCGACTATGCCTGCCTGCCGCTGTCTTGCTGTGCCCTTGCGATTTCCACATGCCCCGTCACCATCCTCTCCCTTTCTGGTGAGGCTTTCCCCCGCTCATGCGAGCACACCAGCAGCGCTGCCGCATCCAGCCAGCCAGAATGTGTGGAATGAGCAAGTGCTCTTCCTTTTGTTCTTGCTGGTCGCATGCGGCCTGACTGGACTGGGTGCTCTCTATCCCACTTGCTGCCCCCAGGGCCCTTCGAGATTCTGCGCGGGGCTTAACTGTAAGCGCCCTGGGCCTCAGCATCTCAGGCTGGGCCCCAGCATCTTAAACCAACGGAGGTTGGACCCTACCAGTTGGTTGGAGATGCTGCGTGCATCGACCAACCTGCAGTGACCCTTTCCTGCTCACATCAGCCTGTACTCAGGCCAAGTCACAAATTTGAGGGCCCGCCTTCACTTAGAGTGGGCGCAACCTCTTCCAGCATTGCCGAGAGGCCTAAATCCTCGCACTCTGCCCTCTTCCGTAATCATCGATCAGCTTGAACATTGTGAGGACAGCGCCGTAATTGTTTGCTTGCACTTCAGTGGACATGGGATTACCAAACCTCTGTCCATAGATACCAGTGCATCCAAAACTCTTCATTATACTGGACATTAGATGTGGTGCACCTTTCGTTGATTTAGTGCACCTCTCTCGTGCACCTTTGGCCTATTTAGTGCACCAATCCATCGAACACCAATCAAGTAAACCCCTCACGACTACATTTACCACACATCGAAAGTACATATCACATAAGTGTAGGTACGGCATGGCTTCCAGGATAGTTCTGTGTGGACGGATACCATAACACGAATCAATTAAGTCCGTCAGAACTACATTCAACACACTTCAGAAGTACATATTGTGTAAGTGTGGGTATGACAAGGCTGCCAGGATACTTCTATGTGCCTCGATACCATGATTACGAAACTCAAATCACACACACATTCTAGTCTGCACATTCTTCTCACCTGGACCAGAATGGACTCGACGACAATGCAACAAGTAGAAACGACAGAGCAGTCTTTTGGAGAGCCCATGTTCAGATAGAGCAGTGATCACTCGTGTACAAAATCATGATGGTAATGAGGTCCTTTGATGAACAATCAATCCCCCTTCTTGCCTCCACCAATGAGCACTGATAATAATGCCGAGGAGCAATGTCGGTCACTTCTTCCACCAACCGCCTAATGTGACCACTCCACCCTACCACTTGCCAACAATAGCCTACTCTACTCATGATTCCTTGGCCAGTGCCACATAGCATGACGATGTTCCACAGCCACGGCAATCAATTAATTTTCACCACTCGAGTTCTTTTGCCAAAGACAAATCAGGAAAGTCTGCTTCACCATCACTATCATGGGTCTCCTATCTCCAAGGACATGCCCTTCATGTGCCTCTCTCTCTCTCTCTCTCTCTCTCTCTCTCTCTCTCTCTCTCTCTCTCTCTCTCTCTCTCTCTCTCACTCTCTCTCTCACACACACACACACACACACACACACACACACACACACACACACACAGATACCTGATCAGTTGAAGGTACCACCTAGAGCTGCAGGAGACCCCAGAGTGCTGTCTGGCCTTTGCCATTACACAGTCTCCCAGTTATGCCACCCAGGTAAGAGGTTGATACTCAACTGGTATGGAAACAGGCAACAGTCTGAGGGATGAAGAAGAGTGGTGATACACCTACCAAACGCTGCAGCGCCGCAATTGAAGACGCCAGTGAAGAATTTACAAGCTGCCAGGACACACCAACAGCAAGAATTGCCAAAAAAACGGGTCAGAATGCAGGATTGGCGACAAAGGATCACAGGGGTGTGGTGAGTGTTCAGGCAACCATGTAACTGCATGTTCCACGTAATAATGCCCATATATCAAGCCCTATTTTGCTTCCCCAGTTGTTGATGAGAGCCACTTAATCCTGTTTTGGTGCTGTTCAGCCCTTTGGGAGGCATAGTTGATTGGCAGGACAGTGGGATACGGCACAGAGACCCCTGACAGTAGTTCCCAGGTTCACAGGAATGTGAATGAGTGTTCAGGCAACCATCAAACTGCGTGTTCCACGTAATGTTGCCCATATCTCAAGTCGCATCTTTTCTAAACTTTTGCTCCCCCAGTTGTTGACGAGAGCCACTTAATCCTGTTTGGTGCTATTTAGCCCTTTTGAACTCACACTACGATTATTCAACTTGTCATGTATGCAAACAGTGAAACAGCAAATTGGTGACAGGCGCCCACTCAGTACTCAAAATATCGTATCCACATAAGAGTTCTCTTCAAACTGGCTATGGCAACTGAGCGCCCACACAACTCACTGTTCGCACTCTGGATCACCCTGGATGTCCCACACGCAACACTCAGTATCACACTTCACACACACACATGCTAGGCTACAGCTATGGCAGCGCTAGCTGCCACTACCTATCGCTGCACTCTACTCCTCTGCCCACTTCGTCTTTGGGCACTCTGCAGACCTCCTCGCACAAGCTGCTAGGCAGCGCTTCCGCATGGCATCCGCAGGAATGAATGAATGAATGGACGCAGCCTCTTGATTTATACTTCTGTGCTGCATTGGTCTGCCTTGTGTCCCTGGCCCATGGTGCACACAGTTCCCCCCGTGGTGCTTGCTGGACCGGACTGGTACTTTCTAGACTCTCTCCAACATGGGCTTGCTTTAGTCACACCACTTGCCCACTTGCCTGCACCACTTGACCACTTGCCTGCACCACTTGACCACTTGCCTACCTTCTAGAAGGACTGCAGCTAGCCTTCTAGTCTATAGGTCTACGGATCGAATCCTGGCTACCTATAGACCTACGACAGACCTACCTACCACTGGCGGTTCTACAGGTCGCAGGTTCAACTCTTCGAGTTGACGCTGGTATTGTACACAGGTAAGTTGGGAAACTAGGGATCGAGCCCTGGGATCTACCTCAGCTACCACGAATTGGTGAATACCGTTTCACTTTGGGAGATCACTCTTTTCTCTACTCTTTCAGTGCATTGCCCATTTTGGACGTACAATTTGCTGCTCTGATGATCGCCTGGATCCATTTCTACTATCTTGTGATAACCCGTCCAAACACGGACTGAAACACACACCTGATTTCTGAGTTTTGCTCATAGACTGAATGCCCTACTGAGTTCCCCGCCTGCTAAGTCTGTGTGTGTGTGTGCTTGCTGGACTGCATGTCTGTCTGAGTGCTGGTTCGCTTGTGTGTGTGTGACTATGCCTGTCTGAGTGCTGGTTGGTATGAGTGTGTGTGTGTGGCCCGCCAGGGCACTTGTTCGTTCATTGGGCCCTCAGGGCCGGTACTTACCTGTGGCCGTGGCTTCGAAGGGTTGCAGCGGGGAAAAAGCACTCAAGTAGCGGGCAGGCCGGTACCGCACCCGGCAGGGGGGTAAATATGCAGGTACCGGAGGCTGAGCAGAAGAAGACTAAAGTGGCATTTTTAGAGGCCGGTAGTGTAGGCTAGGTCTAGCGGGTACCAGTCTGAGTCTAGGGCCTGTAGGGGCAATATCAGAGTCTGCAATGATGTTTCCCTCCAAAAAAGGAGGAGGTACCGGTTGCTTGGGAAGGCCAGCGGCCTGGAAGTCACCGCCCAAGAGGCAAAGCAGGCCGCTATGTCTTCAGGCCGGGCGGAAGACCCGGCCTCTTTTTCGGTGTGTAAGTTTGGCGACACACTGGTGGAGCGTAGGCTGGAGCAGCGCTGCTGGGGAGGACGGAGAAGGACTTGAGGGAGGAAGGAGGAAGGAGGAAGGAAGGGGGAGGAGCGCCAGGGGTACTTACCTGGCTATGGTGGCAGCCATCTTCATCACCTTGATAGGCGCTGCAGCAAGGAGTCCCCAGCCGGGGAGAGCCACACCAAGAAGCTTCAAGGCAGGGCTGGGCATGGCGGCCTGAGCTGGAGCAGCCATAGCTGCTTTGGGTTGTCCTTYGGACATCWGRGCAAGGCCTAGTAGTCCGCCATAGCCTCGGCCTATGAGAGTGAAGAGTGGGAGAGGCGGCCATGGCTATGGTGGACATTGAGTGATACCTGCAGTAAAAGAGGGACTCGGACATTGATTCTGGAGCAGTCATTCAACATTGTATTATTATTTCTTGTATGAATAAGAGGAGGGGGAGATAAGGAGGAGGAGATTGTTGGGCGAAGAAGAAGAGCCTTGTCATTGTCATTGCTGGTGTACATCTTCTTCTTCTTCTTCCTTACTTCTTCTTCTTCTTCTAATCCTCTCTCTCTCCTCTCAAGTTCATTCATTTCTTTCTGCAATTGGATGGCATTGTACCTTCTGATGGATGTGTATCTCCAAATTGGCCAGGGTCATAACAATCTGGCAATTTGATACCAAAGTTCAATAAGTTACGTGCCAAAAATTGGATGGCATATTAGTAGAACGGCATAATAGCAGCAATACCTACACATCTCTAAACCCTACATCCTCAGCGGCTGTCGCATTCCTATGAGGCAAAGATCAGAACCAAGAACCGACCCAAAGAGATAGAGCACAGATAGCGCAGTGGAAAACTGATATACCATGATCTGACTCAATGACACGGACTGACTGCATCACACTAATCATCGTCAGGCAGGGTGAGAGGGGTCCTGGTGCCCAATACACGGACTAAGGGCGCCAGACCAGCAAACATCAATGAGGGGAAGAGACGAAGGAGGAGGAGGAATGGAGATGTCATCAACTCAAATATCACTCTTGAAGTCTCCAAATAGTCTCCCCTGTGTCTTTGTCCAATGTCGGTCTGTGGTCCAATGTCACCCAATCTCAACTCTCAACTCTCTCTCTCTCTCACACCCAGAAGAAGCCGAAGAGCTCAGGAACGGAAGGAGGAGGAGCGATGGAGGACAGGAGGAAGAAATCAAAAGAAGAAGAAGAGTTCTCTCTCTCTCTCTCTCTCTCTCTCTCTCTCTCTCTCTCTCTCTCTCTCTCTCTCTCTCTCTCTCTCTCTCTCTCTCTCTCTGTG